CCAGCCCCGCCGCGCCGGGCTACCGCTGCCCCGAGCCGCAGTGCGCGCTGGCCTTCGCCAAGAAGCACCAGCTCAAGGTGCACCTGCTGACGCACGGCGGCCTGCAGGCCCGGAGGCCCTTCAAGTGCCCGCTGGACGGCTGCGGCTGGGCCTTCACCACCTCCTTCAAACTCAAGCGGCACCTGCAGTCGCACGACAAGCTGCGGCCCTTCCTCTGCCCGGTGGGCGGCTGCGGCAAGAAGTTCACCACCGTCTACAACCTCAGGGCGCACATGAAGGGCCACGAGCAGGAGAGCCTGTTCAAGTGCGAGGTGTGCGCCGAGCGCTTCCCCACGCACGCCAAGCTCAGCTCCCACCAGCGCAGCCACTTCGAGCCTGAGCGCCCGTACAAGTGTGATTTTCCCGGTAACTCGGGGCCCGCGGGCGGGCGGCCTCGGCGGTGCCAGCTGCTCCCCTTGGGGTAGGCAGCTGCTCCCGTTGGGGGTAGGCGCCGCCTGGCCTGGGCCCGGGCCTGGGCCTGGGCCTGCTTTGACCGGGCTGGCGCTGGGTGGAGGGGCGGATGTGCTCTAGTTCCCTGCGGTGGTGGGACTTGACTTCCCAGAGGGAGGGGCCCCAGGTCTCCCTTAGCAGCTCCCGGTTCATGAAAATAACAGCGTCTTCATTGAGAGTTCCGTTCCCTATGAGTCGGGTCTTTACTTTCCTGTCTCGGGTCCTAGAAAGGGCCATCACATACCCAGGGTGACTGCTGGGGGCAGAGACCGGCGACTGCCAGATACAGGACTGCAGGGCCTCAGCCGTGGGCGCCCTCCCGAACAGGCGCCTGGCCGGCTCCTGACGTGTGTATAAGCCGTGTCGTACACACGCACATGCTCCTAATAACGTGTGCATTGTGGGATTGTGAGAGGCCGAGAGGAGACCGTGAATGGGGTCTGCGTCCCCGCCCACATGCCAGTTAGGCACTTCGGTGCGAATGTCATGGTGGCTGTGGTGGCGGTAGACCCTCTCTGGGGTAGATAGTATCGACCCATGTGTGATTGGCAGCTGGCTGGCTTCAAGGCAGGCAGTCCCCCTGAGGGTCTCGGGATGGCCAGTGGGGCGTGGCGTGGTGTGTGGGACAGCGGCAGAAGAGAGACCCCCAAGCACGGTCCAGTGGCCCACGTGCGAGCTTCCTGGCATAGGAGAGGCTGCGGAGGTGGGCTTGGTGCGCAGGGTTGTAGTTGGGAGGAGGCTCCTGCCAGGCAGAGGCAGTGTTCAGATTCACCTCTGCGTGAGCACACCGGAGCCCGAAACGGAACCTGCCAGGGCAGGGGAAGGGTGTGGGCAGAGTGAGGTCAGAGAAGGCAGCTCTCGGTGTTCAAGGAGATCCACGCCTCCCCGTTTATGTTGCTGGGAAAGTGGATTTCTTCGGGCTGGTGGTTCCATGCCGTCTGACTCTCCGTGGTGGTTCACAGGCCCTGAGGGCGTGACACAGGCTCTAAGAAGAGTGGCAGACACCAGTGGGCCAGCCTCATGTCATCCACTGAACTTTGTCACAGGCAGAAGCCTGGGATTGCAGAGGTGTAGGCTGTTCCGGGGAGGGGAGATCCGCGGGGGGGCTGAGCGCGCAGGTGTTGGGAGAAGCCGGGTAGCAGCAGTGGGGCCGGCAGGTGCAGAGGCTGTCAGGGATCCCTAGATGTCGAGGGGAAAACCTTCCCTGTTCCGGTCGTTTGTAACGGTAAAGCTCAAGGTTCCCGACCTGGATACTTTGATTTCTCTGTGGGATTTGCCTGGATTTCATAGCGCAGCAGCGACATCTGAGTTGCTGGAAGATGACCAGAAGGTCTCCAGGGTCAGTGGTGCAGAGCTGGCCATGAGATGCGTCTGGTTAGAGGCCTTTGTCTTGACCAGTCCCTCCACGTCCGGGTCCCCTCGCGGCAGGTGGCCACACGTGCCTTGGCTGCTGTCAGCCATCCTGCTCTGGTGACTGGAGCCAGTGTTCCTGCCAGAACTCTCGAGAGGGTGCTTCTGAGCCCTTCCTCCCGTCTGCTTCCTGCGAGCGGTGTTCCGGGGCGGTGGCTAGCGTGAGCTGCTGCGCGTGGCTTCATCGCGTGTTCAGTGCGTGAGCAGTGCGTGTTCTCGTCCTCAGGCTGCGAGAAGACCTTTATCACAGTGAGCGCCCTGTTCTCCCACAACCGCGCCCACTTCAGGGAGCAGGAGCTCTTCTCGTGTTCCTTTCCCGGATGCAGCAAACAGTACGACAAGGCCTGTCGGCTGAAAATCCACCTGCGCAGTCACACGGGTAGGAAGCAGTGGGTGCGCCCTGGGGCCCCGGGCGTCTGGGAGCGGCGGTCTCTGTACCTCGTGCTCTTTTCTTTCGAAAGGCGAAAGACCGTTCGTCTGTGACTCCGACAGCTGCGGCTGGACCTTCACCAGCATGTCCAAACTTCTGAGGCACAAAAGGTAGCCTGCCTTCCGGTGTGCGGGTCGGCTTGGGGAGTAGCGGGCTTGGGGCAGTAACCACCTGTGGAGGAAAGAGCTGAGGTTTTTAAGTTTCAAGAGAAAAAGAGCTTATTGTAGATGATTAGGGGCACAAGAGGAATCTTATCACCTACAAACAGCGTTTCCTGTGTATGCGTTTAAAAAGATGTGATTGGCTTACTTCATATACAGTTCCTCTTTTCAAACTCAGCATCATTAAGTAGGGTTTCTTCCGGTCATTACAAACTTTCATGGTGATCGCGACAGGCATGGTGTCTGGGCCCAGGGGAGAGCCAGCGCTGTGCAGATCTCAGTCCCTCTGCAGGCCCTCGGCCCATGCTCTTGTTCTCCCTGCTCTGCAGCACAGCTCGGGTTGGCTGATCGCTGGAGCTTGCAGAGCTGGTTTCCTGTGAATGCGGTACTTAAAGAAGACGCGCTGTCTCAGCATTGGAGCTGAGGCTCGGAGTGTGCATCTCTTGGCCCCTCACAGCTTGCTACCGGACTTGCCAGACAATGGCAGTAGCTCCATCCGCACATTTGAGACTCAGCTGTTCCTAGGCGGTTCTGGAGGGCCAGGGTTGCCCAGCTGTGCTAACTGTTCTGCTGGCCTGAGTCGTTAAAGCAGGATTTCTAATTGTAACTAAATCACATATTTGCTCACATGACCTAAAGTTAGAAGTAAGATTTTCTGCAACATACTGATGTATTTTGCAGTGCAGAGCTTGTGGTTTGATATATCTTGCAAAACCTTAAAGAGTCACCTCTGTGAGGTGGCTGTGCGCAGTGCAGGGAGCCACCGTTGCTGTGTTTTCTGTCCCCACAGGAAGCATGACGATGACCGGAGGTTCACCTGCCCCGTGGAAGGCTGCGGGAAGTCCTTTACCAGGGCAGAGCACCTGAAAGGCCACAGCATCACCCACCTGGGCACCAAGCCTTTCGAGTGTCCCGTGGAAGGTAGGTTTCAGCTACTTATGTGAGTCGTCAGCTGAGTACTACACCAGCATCTGTGTTGTTAAGTTGCGTGGAGATGAGTTTCAGTTGCTTTAGGGCAGTGAGCACAGGGGCCATGTTGGCTTGTCCCATTGGGTTGGCCAAGCCACTGTGAGAACTGGGCACTGGAGAGAGTGCAGGCGCCAGCGTCAGGCCTGGCTTCACTCCGCTCTGCCCCCATGTGGCCTGTGGTGCGCCGGTGACCTGTGCAGTGAGGGGAGAAGCAGGTGAACGCGCCCACTGGCATGTCGGCACGGAGCTCAGACCCAGGGCACATGTGTGTGTCAGAGCCGGAGGACGTGGTCACCCTGCAGCCCCTGTCCCACTTCTCTAGTCTCAAGTTCTCATCATCTGTTTTAGGCTAGAGGGTTTAGGCGCTCATTAGGCCATAGGACAAGAGGAAAAAGCACACCCCGATGCGCAGTCACCTCCATTTCTCCCGCCTACCACATGCCTGTGTGCCCAGCATGTTCCCGAGTGGCCCGGTCTGCGGCTTGAACTGCAGTTGGCCGTGTAGGAGTTGGCTCCCTGAAGCACAGACTATAGGCTGACTTTTTTTTTTTTTAGACTTTTTGCCATGGTGTGTATATATTCTTTGGGGAGGGGGAGAGAGAGAGAGAGTGAGAAATGACCCCTGTGTATATTCTCTGGGGAGAGAGAGAGAGAGTGAGAAATGACCCCCAGGGTAGATCGCCGCACCACAGTCCCTTTTCCTCCATTCTACTCCTGGGATTTTGGGCATGCATGCACACACACCTGGCATGTTTTTCAGCCTGCCAGGTCTAGGAGTGAGCCACGTGAGATCAGGAGCCTCAACCACCACACCACCTGCTGGCTCAGGGCTGACTCTTTAGAAGGTGTCAGAGAATTTTGTCTTTAGCTCATTTACTGACAACCTGCCCTGCCACGACTCCGCTAATGTGTGGGTGCCCTGGGAGCGGGGAGAGCCGTGGCAGGCTGCATTGTGGTGAATTTGAACTCCGTCTCTGCCACTCCCTAAATTCATGACCTCAGGCAAATTGCTGCTCCAGGTTTCCCTATTTGGAAAAGGAGAAAATAAAGACCCATTTAAAGCTGAGACCAGTTCTTAGACTGTCCTGAGTCTACGGTGGCGGGTATAGTAAGTTCCAAGTGGAGGTGCGCACACGGCCAGCCAGCAGCAGGTGTATGGGCCACGCTCACCCACAGTGCTCTGAGGGCTGGGCAGGCCTCCGGTCAGCCGGAGGAGGAAGAGCTAGCCCGATGACAAGTGGGCGGGCGTAGGGTACTGCCTGAGGTGCGGGGACTGCAGGCCAGTGCTGACAGTGGGGGCTGAGACGTGGCTCAGTGGACTTCGAGGCTGCAAACAGCTTGAGACATACAGCGGTCATCCTGGAGGGGTGCGCCTGGGCCTGGGCGCGGCGAGGAGGGAGGGGAGCACTGGTGACGGAGAAGGTGGGAATAGCAGTGCAGCGGCTGGTTTAGGTCCGACGGCAAGGGGAGAGGCCGGACTTGGGCAGGAGCGCAGGGTAGAAGCTGGGATGGGTTGGGTTTGGGGAAACCTAGTCTGCGAGCTGCGACGGCTGGTGCTGCTGGAGCCCTGCCGGGCACACGGGCTGCCATGGGGCAGGGTACCGGCCCCTGAAGCGGCAGGAGCAGGTGGAGCTCAGGGACGCCATGAGGCAAGTTCGGCAGACTGCCCCACCCAGGTCCCAGTGTCCCACCTACGCAGCGCAGCCTCAGACGGGCGGCCGAGCCCTCTGCCCCTGGCCTGCCTCCAGAGGGGTCGCACCTCCTGGGCTGTGGGTAGGCTTGAGCAGTTAGTAAACCTCAGGCTTATGGAAGGCGTCCGTGTGCATCAGCTGCTGTGGTGGCTGTGGCCGCAGGTTCCATACAGGCCTGACATACGGCCTTGGGACAGCGGTGAATCTAGGCAGCGACTGGGAGGGCAGGATGTGTGTAGGGGTGGCCCAGCGTGTTGGAACCTGGGGCAGCCTGGGCGCGTCAGCTACAGCTGGAAAAAAGGGGCAAGGCCGTGCAGCTGGGGGGCCGTGCCGTAGCAGGGGTCTGGCCACTCAGTCTGGGCCAGCCTTCTGTCCACTGCCCTTCCTGGCTCTCCAGGCCTCGGCTCTGCAGCCCGCTGGCCTGGGCTGCCCTGTGCTCAGCACTGCCCGCGCCGCTCGCCTGTGGGCCCGGAGCCGCCTTCCCGGAGGCCTGCTCTTCTGTCCCGGAGGTGACTCTGCTCTCTGTCCTAATAGTTGCTTGCCGGCTCGGCCCCAGCAGACGGCGATCATGTCCATGCGGGGCAGCAGCGGAAGGTCAGGGCGTGTGGCTTCGAGTGGGCGCGTGTTCCCACTGTGCCTGTGAGCAGGGCCGGGCGAGAGGGAGAGCGAGGTGCACACCTGAGCTGCGGCCGTGGGAGAGGAGGTGCCAGCCCTGGGCCCCACACTCAGGGACTCCGCTCAGCCTCTCTGGGCAGCCGTTCTCAGTGGGAAGGTGAGAGGACTTGGCCATGGCATTCTGGCGCGGTGTTGCCAGCTCTGGACGTCAGGGCCTGTTTCAATCCGTTCTCTGGCGCTGGTGACAGCCCCGAGTCCGAGTGGCTCGCCGCAGTGGAGGCCTCGTGAGCTGGTGCCTGTGCGGCTCCAGGCCGGGGCCATGTCTCGTGAGGCTCCAGGAAAGGACTCCGTCGCACGGCTGGGGACGTCTGTGTGTGTCTCACCCCTTCCCTCGTGAACTCACAGGGCTCAGTCACTTCCCCCAGTCTCCTCCCAGGGGCCCTGCCTCTATCCCGTGGTCGGGTTAACCCTGTCACCTGACTCTGAGTGAAGCGTTGTGGCCACGGCAAGGTCCCGGCCGTTTCGTAGGGGTGGCCTGATGGAGAGGGCCTGTGTGCATTTGTGGCTAGTGAGCATTTAGGGGTGACTGCGAAGGCTCGGGCAGGCGCAGCGAGCCCGCCCCGGGTCCCCATCTCGGTCAGGGTGCCAGGACTCCAGGCCTCCCAGGGGTTTTCTCTATGGGCCTGGCCTCAGTCCTGCTGACCCCAGCGTGTCTGCCAGTGCCCAGGGCACGGAAGCATGGGCCCTGCGGTCCGGATGTGAGGGTGTCTGCCGGCCCTGCTTCTGCATGGTTGTCAGATCGGTGCCCGTTGCCCTTTCTGTTGCAGGGTGCTGTGCTCGGTTCTCTGCTCGCAGCAGTCTCTACATCCATTCGAAGAAGCACCTGCAGGACGTGGCTGCTCCGAAGAGCCGGTGCCCCGTCTCCAGCTGTGCCAGGCTCTTCGCCTCCAAGCACAGCATGAAGGCGCACGTGGTCCGGCAGCACAGCCGGCGCCAAGGTCTGCTCGTGCCCCTGGAGCCGTGTGTGAGAGCGAGAGTGCTGCCCTTTCCCCACCCCGTGGCCGTGGCTGCGGCCACCCGGCCCGGGCTCTGCTCTGGCGGCCCCCGCCACCCCCCCGCCTCTGGCTCGCCCTCT